CCTAAAATCAAAGAAATCACTTCTTAACATTTGTTCGTTTGTTTTCATCATGTCTTCGAAATGTTCTCTTGGTCTTAAAGATCAGTTCTAGCACATGCAATGCCAGTGTGGAATGTTTTCAGACCTCAAGGCTGGGCACCCTTCTGTGGTGATTGTCCTTGGGCAAATGGAAAGACATGCACAGACAGCTTTTCCCACAGCTGTAGGCTCCTAGCTAGAGGGCTGGTATGTTCAGCATCTGAGTTTGAGGGGGAAAATCTTGGAGAACATGAGATTGTTTTATGTGGGCATTAGACATTTCACTGAATAAATGTACTGGATTCTAACGGAACACCTGCTACATAGCAGCATCTCCTCTTTGGTCCTGTGCCCACTGTGTGTACAGAGAGGGCTTGTCCCTCTTTATATCCAGAGCTATACCTGACGTGATCCATTAAGCAGTAGGAAGAACGCTCTCAATAACAGGGAGCTTGGAGTGCAAGAAAAAACTTGTTTATTTGATAACACCTTTACCATCCAGTATCAGATTACATTAGGGTGGAGGAACAACAGTCTTTTCCCCTTTTGCTCTGGTCACAGTGCTTCTTAGTTGTTTTTAGTATTCTCTGAGAGGCCACATCCACAGTGAACATAGCTCCTAGATCTTTTCTTTCAACCATGTTGATTATTCATCCATATCCCAGTTGCCTTAAATAAACTGATTACAGCAATTAATCTCAGTCTGGTAGCTGAACCACATGGCAGGGTTATCGCTACTGCCAAGTTCAATGTCATTGTCATCTTGGCTGCTTCTCTTCTGGAAACACATGTGCCTTCTCGCTAGTATACTCTCTGCTCAACTACCAGTGTTAATTCCATGGCCTGTATTCTTGGAATGCTTTTAGAAACTGATCAGTTTTTCTTTGTTGTTTCAAAAGCCATTTCAGGTTAGGCTAGCTAAGAGGCAAGAAACTAGCAGACTAGAGCCTGGTGGAGTAGCCTAGTGGTTAAAAGTCTTGCCTTGCATGCACCAGGATCCCATATGGGCAGCAGTTCTAATCCTGGTGGTCCTGCTTCCCATCGAGCTCGCTGCTTGTGGCCTGACTGGGAAAGCAGTCGAGAATGTCCCAAAGCTTTGGGACTCTGCACCCTCATGGGTGACCTAGAGAAGGTTCTGGCCTTCTGGCTTCAGATCAGCACAGCTCCGGCCATTGCGGCTGCTTGGGGAGTGAATCAACGGATAAAAGATCCTCCTCTTCTCTGTATATTTGACATTACAGTAAAAATAAATAAATTTTTAAAAATTAGCTGACTAGAGGATTTTAGAGACTTTATTTTGTGTAACTGTATTAAAATTGAAGTTTATTGAGAAAATTTGAGAAATTAAGCAGTAAAAGCAGAAAGGAAACAGCCAGTGGGAGAAATGCAGATAGGAAGATCGTACAAAGAAGTGAAAGAGAGGAAAGGGGAGGAATGCGGTATTTCTGGTAAATTTTCAAAATCTGAATAGGGGTGATAAGGAAAAAAAATACTCATTTGACCTTGGAAGATACTGCATGATTTTCATTCTGTTCACTTTTAGAACAGTGTTTGCTCATATTGAAACGATCTCCTCCACACATACAGCTCAGGGAGCACACTGCATGGATTGCCAGCCTTTTTGACTGAGTTTGAGCTATTATTAGTTTTCTGTGGGATGCAGGGGCCCCGGTCTACCTTAGAGACTTCTCCTGTATCAACCCTTGGCTATATGTGTATTTAAAGTGTTTGTTCCAGTTTGGACTTGAAAATCTGTCCCAAATGGCATCATGCCAGGGGCTAATTCTTATTGCTTCAGAAGGGGGGAAGAAGATGCCTGCGTCACAGCCAAGCTGCTGCACTGGGCAAGAGGGGACATTCCTTCCTGAGAATGTGTGACCTGACGGAGGGCACATGAACCTGTGCACACATCAGAAATGAGTGTGGATAATCCACCTGTCAGCTAGGGGAAGTGGACTCAGAAAGGTTGCTTACCCCAGGCTCATCGGGAAGACCAGCAGAAGTGCCCAGGAGAGCTCTATTTCTTAGTCCCATGGGATATGCAACCTATGAAAACCTTTCACTGTTCACAGTTTCACAACTGCCCACTTTGAGCCATGGAAAGAACCAGGTCTCATGGTCTAATCCTACCAGGGACACAATGAGCTGGGACTTCAGGCAGAGCCCAAACAGGATCTTCCTGAGCTTGCTGACTTTGCTTTTAAACATGAACATGAAGACATTTCAAGGGTTAATTATGAGCCTTTAGAAATCCTAAACTTTTATCTTTTAAGAATGTTTATGTAACTTTTTGTATGGCACTAGTGTGTGTGTGTGTGTGTGTGTGTGTGTGTGTGTGTGTGTACGTTTTAGGAGGTCAAAGCAGTTAGCATATTTTCTGCAAACCAAATACCATACACACATGCACACACGTACACAAAGGAAGGTTGTATTTATTGAGCCCATTGGAGGCTCTGCCATCCACTCCCTCTGATGTCACAATGCAGAAGTGCAGACACTGTTCCCTACCACTGCCAGCCAGCCCACTACTTTTCTGTTTTCAATCTAACACTCTACTTGAACATTTTAAGAAAAGTTTCTCCTTTTTTTTTAAAAAATTTTATGAAGAACTATACCATTGTAATGATATAGGGGAAATTAGAGAGAGGGTGGGACCTGGGGAAGGGGTAAGGAAAATCCCAGAATCTATGGAACTGTATCATAAAATAATAAAATCAATAAATTTAATATTTTAAAGATTTATTTTTGTTGGAAAGGCAGATTTTGTAGAGAGAAACAGAGAGAGAAAAATCTTCTGTCCAATGGTTCACTCCCCAAGTGACTGCAGCAGTTGGAGCTGAGTCGATCTTAAGCCAGGAGCCAGGATCTTCTTCTGGGTCTCATATATGCATGCAGAGTCCCAAGGCTTTGGGTCATCCTCCACTGCTTTCCCAGGTCACAAGCAGGGAGCTGGATGAGAATTAGAGCAGCGGGGACACGAGCCAGTGCCCATATGGGCATCCCAGTGCATGCAAGGTGAGGTTCAGCCACACTAGCAGTGTGGTGGCTGGGTGAATTCCATCATCTCCCTAATATTCTGTGGCTCCAGGTCTCTCTTTACAAAAATGAAGCCAGAAAACACACACTTTAGCACCCGAGGGCTCACTGCTTGGTGCCTAGCACTCCCTTATCTGCTGCTGGAGAAAGAGAGTTGCAAACTGGCGGGAAACCTTGCAAGATGAAAAGCGACCCTAAGAGTTGGTCATGGCCAGGCAGATTGCAGCAGGACAGAACGTGCCTTCTGACAGCCTGAAGGGGTCCCTGCTCACCCTGCTCTTAGCTCATTACTGCTGGTGCTTCATTATCAGATGAGTGATGGGACAGGAGGAGGTGAAGAACCGATGGGATCGTTGGCCCCACAGTCAGTTTTTGATGAAAAGTCCATTTTCTTATCATTGCAGGGATAGAATGCAGTTTGCAGGGACTTGGGAAGACCTACTGTCTCATCATTGTGAGAGTGTGTGTTATATGTATATTTGTGTGACCTTTTGGTGTTTCCTCCAATAACTCCAGAAAACATGTTTATTTCCAGTTGAAATATCTCTTCTCCTAAAAAATCAAACTAATGTAGATTTGTTGGAGAAAATTTGGAGAATACAGAAATAGGGCCCAAAGAAACTAATTTCATCACCTGTTCTGATAATTTTGGTGAAGAGCTACCAGACCATTTGCTATTTTGACATATGTTCATTTCTATGACCTAAAGCTCTGAGTAGGACCCTGGGAAGGCTTGCTTGCAGTAAATATTTGCTGAATGAATGTATAATTATAAAGCACACTATGAAGGGAACTGGGTGGTCCAGATGTAGCAGAGAGCCACAAATATACAGTGCTTGGGTCTGGCTATCCTGTATCTAACCTTCTGCTGTTCGTGACTTTCTCTCTTTGGTTAAGTCTCTGCTTCTCTGGGCTGTTTCTTTTTCAGAAAAGTCATCACTGAAGCTAAGGTTGAGTGCTCTGTGCATTGGTGAAGGCAAGGTATGTGGACATTTATTTCTCTTTTATGGCTCCATGACGTATGTTCCTGCTGTCTCATTTTATACACAAGGAAATGGGTATGGAGAGGTTAAGGGGTTGGCATAGAGGCACACAGCCAACAAGTCGAAAGCTGGCCATGAACTTAGGCCTGGGCTCCTCCCCTGCTGGACTGTGGAATTAAGTGACTCTGAAGGCCCTTCCCTGCATAGGGATCTGAGTGACAGCAGAATGGTTTGGGGAGGCAGGGGCTAAACTCAAGAAAGTCAATCTTGGAACAAGGTCCATCTAATTGTGGAGCTCCTGGAGCAAAGCTCTCAACTGAAAGTCTTCCTCCTGGAGCATGGATGGTCTATAGGGCACCAATGGAGCATAATTAGAGACCAGGCATTGTCTGCCCTTCCATCAGTGCCCTGTCACTCAGACGTGGGGCCACAAGGCTCTTGGTGGGTGTTCTTTTGCTTCCAGGGCCTCACTAGACTGCCACCCACAGGACAGTGCCCAAGGGTCAGGCAGTGATGCCAATAAGAGATCCATCAGATGACTGCTGACCATGAGCAGTCACTGATGCATTTGATGAGGGAGGAAGAAGGGGAATACAGGCTGATGATTAGCTAGAGTTGCAATTAGCAGAGGACTGTCCTTGCTCCCTGCCATCCACCGACCCCCTGAGGCTTGTGTTTTAGCTTCATGTCCATGGTAACCAAGTCTCCTTTCTGGGCAGGAGGAATGGGCTTCAGTAAACAGACCTATTTGTGTGACTTCTATTACTCATTTGAAGCAGTGTCACTCCCTTTTCCACTGTGGTCTGAGTCTCTGAGTCAGACGGAGCCTACAACAGGGTTCTCTGAACTGATGGCTCACTCCCAGCCACTCTTGAATGACTGCCAACTTAGCAGGGCGTAGCTTACCAACAAATCTTTTTTTTCTTTTTTTTTTTTTTTAAGCCAGACTGATTCATAGAAACTCCTTTAAAACACCAGTGAGAAGAAGCCGCCCAGGACACACCCCAGCTCACCAGCCGAGGAAACTTATAACCTCAGGAGGCAGGGCCCTCCCCTCACTGCAGTCGCACACCTCCAGTGGAGCAGACCGGGCAGCCACCAGCTCCTGCACACTCCGGCCACCTCCGTTGCTGGGTCCCCCAAGGTAGGACAGCTCCTAATGCTGTGGCTACACTTCTTCTTCTAACCTTACATCTTCTTTTTTCTCTATTTTTTTCTATGATCTTTAAGAGTCAAATTCTTGTGACTTGCAACTAACAGTAGAGACTGGGGTCCCTTTTCCATAAAGATCAGAAAATTATGTTGAGAGGAGTCAGTGGGACATTGCCAGGATTGAGCTCTACTCGCATGATACAGTGGTTAGGTGCCTGCTCTGAACATGTGGACGGAGTGGGGACTTTGGAACGAGCTGGGGAATGATATTCTTTACAGAGAAAACACTGCATACCTGGGGAGTGACACTGTAAACTTGCCACATGCTGTCTCCAGCGGACTCACATAGCTTCGGGACTTGAATTGTTCCTTTGCTTATTGCTTGGTTGTCCTGTGGGTAGATGGTTTTGGATGCTGGTGGGCACATACCTGATTGTGGTATACCCTTGTCATCGGCTTATACTGCTCTTTCACTTACCCCTTCAGTTCTGTGTCAATGGAAGTATTGTATTAGTTTCTTTTTCTCCTTGGGGATTGGGTTGTTTAAGAAAACCGTTAGAGAAAGAGAGGGAAAGAGGAAAGTGGAATTTCAAATAAAATGTGGGAGGAGTTCAGCTGAAGGAAGCTGGTGTGGTGGCAGGCTCCCTTCTCAGCCAGATGTGGAGGCTATGGGAGGGCAGAGGGGCGGCAGGGGGCGGCTGGATCCACAGCAGAGGGTGGGGCGGGAAAAGGCAGTCTGTTCCTGTAAAAAAATGTTGAATGGCTTCTCTTGCTTTCAACCCAGAGAAAGCCTCATTTTAGGGCTGAGCGAAAAAAGGGCAGATTCAAAGGGAGGCAAAGATTTTTTTTTAAGTGTCAGCGTGGAAGGGAATGGCTCTTGGGATCCAGCTCTTTCTCATTCCACTCTCCTTCCGAAACACGCCAGTGCCAACACCAGCACGCGCAACAATCTCCGAAGGAAATCTGGAGGGGCAGGGTAGTTTTCCTCTTCGCTTGTGTTTTGCTTTAAGGTTGGCATTTTGGTTGAATGTCTTAACAGAGGTGTGGCCCATTTCAACATAGATATGGGTGTATTTTTCCCCCCACGTCAACAAGATGAGGAGCACAGCAGGACTCAGCTTGTCTGATGAAGCGAGGTATTTCCCTCAGAAATGTGGGACGTTGGCAAGCAGTTTTTAAATGCAATGAGCCTGCGTGTTGAGCAGGCAGCACGCCTTTAAAACAGGCCCTGGAGGGATGGTTAAGTAGGAGCAAGGGCGAACTGCAAGATCCAGGAACTCCTACATGTTGACGATGTCCAGATCAGTGGGATGTGAGTTAGGGAAACCATTATTAGATGAATACTTATGGTTCTTATGAGGATAATACAGATCTTAGTTCTGCACAGGTTAAAACTAACAAGCAATGTTTTTTTTTTACTAACACTGATGACTCTTGGAGCATAATCCATCATGACTTGAGTCCTTTGTGGTGTCTGGTACAATAGTGCAGCTTCATGTAGGGGAAAAGAGGCTGTATTCTCCTAGAGTTCAGAGGGCACTTCACAAAATGCTATTCTGATTCCTGTGTTCTACTCCTCCTTTCAAAGGTAGCAGCAAGTGCCTTCGTGGTGTGAGTTTCACTGGCTCTCAGCCTCTCTTTGACGACACTGAGCTGGGAGGTTATTTTTTTCCACTCTCAGAAGCAGATCAGATTCCAGCCAGAATCTGAAGAATGGGGCGGGAGCAGAATGCTGTCCACAGCTGCAGGACATCCACTCTGGTGCCCTGGCCGGGATGGTGAGAGGTGGGGAGAAGGAGCTCCAGATTGCAAATCGTGTGGGGGTGCTGCGCTGCCCTAGGAGTTGCCCCGAGGCCATGAAAGACCAAACTAGCCCAGATCACATCCTTAGACCAGCAGAGAACCTGGGGGGACAGACAAATCCTCTGCAGAGCTCAGGAGCCCTGTACTGAGGCTTTCTCAGCCTTTCCCACTTTTAGCTCCTAGCCTTGAGAGAGGGAACATGGACCCACTTGGCTTGCTGCGGGTGGCCCCAGGAATTTTGGCTGAATTGTGCAGAATTGTGGCTTGGCTGGGATGCTGGAGGGCTTGTGGAGGAGGGTACCCTTGGGACAGATGGCTGCAAGATGGCCACAGAGAGAAACACAAGACCCTTCCAGGCTTCCTTTTGTTGTATTAGAACTCTAAATTCAGGAGGGATCTTGGCAGGGGTAGGTGGACTCATTCATTCTCCTTTTGTATACAGAGGTCTAATTTTCCTTCCCTATTGGACAGCTGGAACCTTATAGCTTTTTAACACTTTTGTACAGGGAAGGACAGTGCCTTCTCAGAGGTGCCTTTGTGGCAGCCTACCCCTTGCTGGATAACTCTAAGTTTTGGCATTCCTTAGGCTGAGCAAAATTCACTTTCTTTAGACTTCCTGGTCTAGAGGCCTCAAGTGACCCAGCAAGTATCTATTCTGGTTTTCTCATTGCTCAACCCCAATCTCTATATCCTGTAAATATCTAAGCCTTTTTTTTTTTTAAAAAACAATTAACAAACTCAATAGGTCTTCATTACATTGTTTTGTTTTATTCTTGACCTTTGGTTCAGAAAGAACACTTTTTGAAGCTCCACAATCATGCAGTGGTTGACCACACCCCTATGAACTGATCCTAAACACGCACACACAGTCCCTTCTTGAACCTAGCATGTACACCTCAGCAGCTGTGACCAAGGCTAAGCCAGCTGATTCCTTCTTCATGCTTCTTCATGGCAGTTGCTCCTGGTGGTCTCCAAGGCATCTGTCATTCTGAAAGTCTAAGATCACGCCATTCCTATTTGGAAAAATCTGTCAGATGCGTGCCTATTCCTATTTAATCCAAAAGTATTGGAAAAGTGAGAGGAAGCTGCCTGTGGGAAAATCCAAGTGGGATTTTCATAGAAGATGGCTGGCTGGCAGGTGCCTTGTGGGATCAGGCAGCCTCCCCATCCCATCCCTTTGGCATGGCATTCTCACAACTCACCTTCAGATGGAGTGGGCACTCCCCTGTCCCTGGGAGATAGAGATCTGACTAACAAAACATGCCAGGTGCCGACCTGGGTAAGAAGGGGCAGGCTCTTCATGCCTGTTAGGATGGCGCCTGCAGGAAAGACTTCACAGGAAATGAAATCAGACCCAGGGAGACACTGCACGGATCCGGGGAAAGAAGCTTCTGTCTGTTCTCAAGGAAGGAGATCCTGAAGGATGAAAATGTGTCTGTGCAGGTGTGGATGGAAACCAGTGAGGGATAAATCCAGAGAAGGCGAGAGAGGGTGTGAGGAAGATAGGAAGGGCCTCAGGGAGAGCAGGTGGGAGGTGAGGAGACAAGCCAATGCCTGAAGACAGGAGGAGGGTGTTTCCATCACTAGCTCTTTTCCCTCCTGTTGGGGAACCACCCACCCTCCACGTCTCGGGACAGTCCTGAGGTCAGAATTCAGTTTCTTGTGCCCAGGAAGAATCTTGGGCTTCTCCAGCCACATGGGATGTTTTCATTGTGCCCATTAAACCGTTGGAGTTTCCACTGAGTGTTTGTGCCAACAGGGCAGCGACCTACCTCCCCGCTCCCCACCACCCCGGTGTCTCCTCACTCTGAAGGTCAGAGGTGCACTAAGAGCATGAGGGGGCCTCATTAGAAGACCCCATGTGCCCTGCCATCAAGAGCCACAGCCAGGGTGGTGGGAGGGTTGCAGGAAAAGGGGAATTGGAACACTAGAATTTGGGGTAGGTGGTGGCATACAAAGCTGAAACCTGCAGAACAGGTTCTCAGGGCTTTGGTGCCGAGGGCACCCTTGGGCCAGGGTGGGGTCTGGGACTGAATGGGAAGCTGGTTGCTCCTGGTTTTTGGCAACCATACAAAGATGATTGTGCAGAGTAGGCTCCTTGGGGACATGACAGGAGTCCTTTGCTTTAAATGGTGGCACTGTGTGGAGGGGCTGCATGCTCTGACTATCCTGGAAGGCAGAATAGTTTTGGCAGAAGTTCTGGAACTTTCAGCAACAGACAGGAGAGACAGAAACCGTGCCAGACCGGAGGAGCCTGTCTAGAAGATGAGAGACAGTGGCTTCCCTGCTGACCAGGCTTCACCTTGGACGCAGGCATTTCCTTCTTTGTCAAGGGTCTGAGCTGAATGACTTCTGAACCCTGAAACAGTCATTGTCTTAAACCCAGAAACTGAGCCACAGCCCGCCCAGGGCCTGGGGGGGTGCCTCCCAGCCGTCAAGGGGCTCAGCTCTACCGCCATCTACTGTTGGGCCCGCCTAAGTGCCTCAGGGCCCTGCCACACCTTGAGTTTCTTCCCAAGCCCTGGTTATGATCTTGGCAGTCTTTCCCTGAAAGGCATTCTGGTTGCCAGAGCCTCCTCCTTCGTCAGTAGCAGAGGGTAACTGGGCTTCCGGCTTTGCCCAAGGGACACTTAGGGAACGATGGCTGGAGCAGCTGCAGTCTGGGGGCAGGGGTTGGGTTTAGCCTCTCAGCCCCCATGTCTGGCCCAAGCCTTTGTAGATGTGGCCAGATCCGCCCCCTCGCCTGGACACAAGGGAGGACTTGCGGAAATAAGGGAGGGGAGCTGCTTCCTGTGCGAAAACAATATTTGCAAAAACAATATTCCTGCTGCTTTTTTGCCTGTAGTGTCGTGGTTGGATCTCAGATTCAGCTAGAGCAGTTGAAAGCCCATGTCACCAGCCTAGGCTTTTCATTTGACACAAAGGACAGAGGCCCTGGTTCAGTGTCCAGCACGGCCCTTCACTCCTCATGCTCACCCCCCAGGGCTGGCAAGTCACGTAGGAAGCGATGGAGTCAAGGACTGGAACCTGGAACCTGAGCTCCTCATCACTTGGTCTTGAGGAGTCTCCAGCTAGAGCAGCTCATTGACTTTTTCCAAGTCAGCAGTTAGAGGCAGGATTTTCATAACATTCTTGTTCTTCTTCCTTCGCTCTCTCCATCATTCTTCCTCGCTCCTTCTCCAGCCCCAC